CTTCGGGTTCTGTGTCTCCCCCTCTCTCTGCCCCTCCCCTGCTCATGCTCTGTCTCTCTCTGCCTCAAAAATAAATTAAAAAAACATTTAAAAAATTTTTGAAAAAAAAATGAAACTCAGTCTTTTTTAATTTCCTTTACATAATCAATCAAATTGCATCCCAATGAAAAGTTCTTGCATCATTGCAACATCTTATTGTTCTCTTTACCATCTCTTACTATCTTCTCTTCTATGTTTTCAGTTCAGAGAAGCCCAACTGGGATTACCATGCTGAAATAGAAGCATTTGGACATCGGTTACAGGAGACCTTTTCCTTAGATCTTCTCAAAACTGCATTTGTTAATAGCTGCTATATTAAAAGTGAGGAGGCCAAGCGCCAAAACCTTGGAATAGAGAAAGAAGCTGTTCTTCTGAATCTTAAAGATAATCAAGAACTCTCTGAACAAGGGACATCTTTTTCAAAAACTTGCCTCACACAATGTCTCGAGGATGCATACCCAGACTTGCCCACCGAAGGCATTAAGAGTCTCGTTGACTTTCTCACTGGTGAGGAAGTGGTATGTCATGTGGCCAGAAACTTGGCCGTGGAGCAGTTAACACTGAGTGCAGAATTTCCAGTTCCCCCGCCTGTTTTACAGCAGACTTTCTTCGCAGTAGTTGGAGCCTTGCTGCAGAGCAGTGGCCCTGAGAGGACTGCTCTTTTCATCAGGGTAGGTAATGCTTGATTGCAGAGGCTGGGACATACATGAGGTGGGCAGAAGAAAAAGAAGTTTAAAAAAAATTTTTTTAATGTTTATTTTTGGGAGAGAGTGCAAGTGGGGGAAGGGGCGGGGCGAGAGGGGGACACAGAACGCGAAGCAGGCTCCAGGCTCCGAGCTGTCAGCACAGAGCCTGACTCGGGGCTCAAACCCACGAACCGTGAGATCACGACCTGAGAAGCTTGGAGCTTAACCAACTGAGCCACCCAGGCGCCCCTGAAAAAACTGTTTCGTGATTCGTTCCTTTGTTATATGATCTTGGAAGCTTATATGTGAATTTTTCTCCCTACCAAATTCTGAGAAAGCCCTAAAGCTTATGGTAGTGTCTCATTATCGAGGACATCATCAGAGGTGCATATCAAGTGCTAGGTTGTGAGTTCCCAGGACTGCAAGCCTGTCTTCAGCTTTCCATCATTAGGTCCACAGGCAGTGCCTGCATGGTACATGTTCAGTAGGTGTTTAGTGAATGAATGACACCAACTATTCAAAGGCCTGGAGTGGTTAGGGAGCTTCGTGCTGAGGCACCGGCTGCTGTTCTACTTTTACAAGTAGTAAAATCTTGGATTTCTGAGTCTCGTTGATGTATACCTAATTGCTTGTTAGCTAGTAGCTTAGCTAATGAAAATACTTACATAATTGGGATTCCTTGATTCCCCCTGTTCTTTTAGAATTTAACTGGGAGGATTTTTATCCCCTGCATTGGATGAATGCACGAGTTTTTGGTCACCTTTACATAATGGCAAATCCACACAATTACTTTAAGTCAAGAAACAGTCTTGATTCAGACATCTGAATGTCGGGTCCTAGAAATCAGCATCCCTTAACTGTTGGGATATCATTTCGTTTTGATCACTTTGATACAGAAGAATACCTGCATTGGCCAACATTCAGGCTTTGTTCATATCCGTCTTCCTCCTTCCCCAACTAGGGCCTGTAACAGGTGGGCCACCTCTCTGCCTTTGGGAAGCAGGTATATTAACGGCCCTTCTGGAGTGGGAGCTCAGAGACGGAAAAAGGAGAACAGAAGATTTTTACTTGACCTGGTGGCCGTCAGCTGGTCCAGTGCTTTCTGAGTCTGGTTGATGTTCAAAACAGACTCTGCGGGGCATTGTGTCCCCTGCTGGAACCTTCCAGCCATCTTCCTTGACCTGGGTATTGACTCTTTTTCCCACATCAGCTTCCGGTTTCCTGGATAGGATTCCCTTACAAATGATATCCCTTCTGTGCGTTCCACATTAGGTCTCAAGGATATTTATACCTTTGACGTGAGTTGCAGGCTATTGCTACCGGCAACCTCTGCCAGCCTGTTGGCCTGTAAGCAGAGAATGTGTGTTGGCAGCCAGGTGACTGTATGTGTCTCGTCTCAGATTTGGAGGCCACTGGACTCTTTGAAGTCCTCGCGGCTTGAGGTGAAAAGGAAATCCTCTCCTTTGCCCTCTCCTCTCCCAGTAAAATAGCTTTTTCTAAAGAAACCCTCACTGAGTCCTCCCTTGATTTCCATTCTCTTTGTCCCTTTAGCTTCTGTGGAGTCTTAGAACTGTCTAAACAAATTTTGGTCGCCTTGCTTTGATACTTCCACAAGGTAGTCCTGAGACCATTTTGGAAATTCATGTTTTCTGTGTCGTAGTGACTCTGTTGACAGTTCTATTTATAGATCCTGTTAAAGATAAGTAGGTCAAATATCTGTGTTTATTCCATTCATTTGTCCACCTAGGATCTGTTGTTTACTGTGTGCTAAACACTTTGCTGAGCACTGGAGCCGGAGCAACATGGAATATGATCCTTGCCTCCAGGGTCCTAGTCAGCTCATTAGGCGGTTCGAGTGGCCGTTGCTCTCAAAGATGTGTTATAAAGGTGCAGAGGGAACTCGGGAGGCAACAGTCAGTTATAACAGGATTAGGGAAAGTTCATGAAAGTGATGCTTGCCCCTAGGAAGGACATTCCAGGAAGAAACCTTGAGGACAAGCTTGTGTGTGGGGGGGGGGAAGCGTATTGAGGAGTATATAGTGGATGGTCTTGTTAAGACTGCTCTAGAGAAACCTGGAGGAGTTTTAATAGATTTCCATGATCATAGGTGCATTTTAGAAGCATGTCTTCATACTGTCTCCCTGTTCTGGGGAGGTGAGATTGGAATATTCAACCTCCACTTCCACTGAAATTTCTAATAATAAACTAATAAGACTAGGAACCTATCGGGGAAAAAATAGGAGGCATAGGTAATCACCAGAAAAATCTAGATTTCTTTTTATGTTCCTACTAATATCTTAGGCATTCGGATTGTTTTTCCTTACCCTACCGTTGGGTTATTTTATATTGCAGATAATCCCAGGGATTCATATATAGGTGTAATTAACATATGTGTCTCGTAAGGCAACTCTATACATTAAAAAATTCAAAATCCCCAATAAGGACTTACAAATTAAAAAAAAAATTTTTTTAATTCCAGTGTTATTAATGTACAGTGTTATGTTGGTTTCAGGTGATAAATATTTTTTACAAATGAAGCTGAAATAGAGTTCTGGTGCTTGGGCAAGTGTTGTAATGAAATTGACTATGAACTAAGGTGTTTTTTAAATTTCTCCCCTCCTATCCCCATTTACCCATCTTTTATTATATACTGGGGTTTTTTTAATCTTTTTTTTTAAAGTTTATTTTTTGAGAGAGAGCGTGAGCAGGGGAGGGGCAGAGAGAGAGGGAAAGAAAGAATCTCAAGCAGACTTCGCACTGTCAGTGCAGAGCCTTATGCGAGGCTTGAACCCATGAATCGTGACGACATGACCTGAGCCCGAAACCAAGACTTGGATGCTCAACCCACTAAGCTAGCCAGGTGCCCTATACTGTGTTTGTTAACATGAGTTACTTGCAGTATATTTTAATGAAAATTTATGTTCCCTTATTTTCTGTCAATATTGATAGTT